TCTGTGGTTGGGTATATTTCGGTTGATTTAGTGAGATTTCTGACGATTTACTAATTGTTCTGGTTGTTTTATTCTTATTCTTATTCCTTTTTATGTTCTTGTCTAGTTCTAAAGATAGCTGTTTACTCTCTCTAGTGTCTCACTCTTCACTCAACTACTAAAATGGGTAATTTTCAGAATTTTTATTTTTGTTTATTGTAATATTGGTTAATTGATTGATATTTTTGTTAGTTATCGTTTAATTGTTTTTCGTTTGTGTTTTTACAGGCAAGAGTAAGATTGGAATCAACGGTAATAGATTTGATCTAAATGATTGCTTTGGTTTTCAAAATATGTTTTATTTCACGAAGTTTGGTAAATTATGTTTGATTATTTGAAGGTTTTGGAAGAATTGGCCGGTTGGTGGCTAGAGTTGCTTTGCAGAGAGATGATGTTGAGCTTGTTGCAGTCAACGATCCGTTCATCACCGTTGATTATATGGTATTTTTGCATTTTCGCTCGTTTTTGCAGTCTTATTGTACACTTTTGGGGTTTTAGTTTGGGGATCATGCGCCCTGGATCTGTTGCTTATTTTTTTGACAAATCACCCTATTAGTGCTTTGTCCGCATGATTTAGGTATAATTACTAGATACGTGATTGTGCTTTTTGTAATCTCATAGCAAGTTTATTTGAAGAGTTTGATCTCCCCCGGTTAATTATTTGTCAAATATTTGTGGAATGAGTTCGTGGTGATGTTACATTTTGTGCAATTGTTGCAGACATATATGTTTAAGTATGACAGTGTTCACGGTCAATGGAAGCACCATGAACTGAAGGTCAAGGATGATAAGACCCTTTTATTCGGCGAGAAGACTGTAACTGTTTTTGGCATTAGGTACTTATATGTAGCTTTATATGCCCTTTTTTCTTGATTTCCTCGTGTGTGCATGTGGATCCTGGGCAAGTTATTGATATCTTTCCACTTTGAATTGAATTTGAAGGAACCCAGAAGAGATTCCATGGGCCGAGACTGGCGCTGAATACATAGTGGAGTCAACTGGAGTGTTCACTGACAAGGACAAGGCTGCAGCCCATCTGAAGGTTTGCGCTCTCTGAATAATCATATTTTCCTATTATTTTACGTTCCAAAATATTTAGCTATTGCTTTCGATAGTACCTGAAAGGACAGGCGAATGTAGGTGAAAAAAAATTCTAGCTGTAGGTTTATATTATTCATAGTTATTTGCTGCACAGTTCTGTTAAATGATTTTATTTTGTTGTTTGCATCACCAATATGATTCGGTAGCATTTTTCATATATGTGATGCATTTTTCTGCTAGTGTACACTGGTAGTCCAGTCATTAATGCTGTTTATGTAGTCATTTCTAAATGTGAATGACTGCAAACTTGATTTAGTACTGGTTTGGTAAAGCATTTGTTTGCTAAAAAGCTCGTCAAACTTCATTTTTAAATATACATTTCATTGCACCCACAACTTTTATCCATTTTCACCCCATGTTTCATGGGACACGTTCATTAAAAACTCATTTTTCCCCAAACTCATTTTCATCTGCACATTATTCCAATAAAATAATTTCACACTTAAACCAAATAAATTCCTACTTTTTAACAGCAAATTCTCCAAAAATTCACTATTACAAAATCTATTCTACAAGAAAATGGGGCTCAAACAGGGCTTTGGTAGCAGTTGACATGTTTTGTGTCTAAGCATTTTGTTAGTTTTTAGGTGACAGTTTTTAGTTGAAATAATCAAAAATTTTTAATCTCAATTTTAAAATAGAGACAAAAACATGCTAGGACTCAAATTTGTTGAGACCTGAAATGGAAATTTGCAATTTTTAAACTTTAAGCAGTTCCAGCATTGTAGCTTGTGTTATAATATTTCCCTTTAATTTCTTGAATTAGGGTGGTGCAAAGAAAGTCATTATTTCTGCACCAAGCAAGGATGCACCCATGTTTGTTGTGGGTGTCAATGAGAAGGAATACAAGCCCGAACTCAACATTGTTTCCAATGCCAGCTGCACCACCAACTGCCTTGCTCCCTTGGCAAAGGTTTGCAGCTACTGTTGTAAACTTGTGTATTCATGTGTATGTTCTGTAATGACTTTCTTAAGTTTTCAGGTTATTCACGATAGGTTTGGAATTGTTGAGGGGCTTATGACCACAGTCCACTCTATCACAGGTAGGTTTGGTTATTTATTTTGTTTGGCATTCGAAACTGTGCTGTTGCTGATGGTGCGTCTTTCTGTTATTTAGCAACTCAAAAAACTGTTGATGGTCCATCTTCCAAGGACTGGAGGGGTGGAAGAGCTGCTTCATTCAACATCATTCCCAGCAGCACGGGAGCTGCCAAGGTATTAAATTCTTTGAAAGTGGTACAAACCTGTGTGCTACTCTCATTGATAGAAGATTGAGCTTGTATTGCAGTACTTCGTTTCCTTCAATTTAGCTCAGCGTTGTCATTAATCATTTCCTCCAGTTAACTGCCTCTTCTCTTTGAAGGCTGTTGGAAAAGTTCTTCCTGCACTGAATGGAAAGCTGACTGGAATGGCCTTCCGTGTGCCTACTATTGATGTCTCCGTGGTTGATCTCACTGTAAGGTTGGAGAAAGAGGCTACCTATGATGAAATCAAGGCTGCCATCAAGTAAGGATGCATGGTTTTTCAATTTATGTCTTTATGCAAATGTTGATCTTTATCTCTGTGGTACTGTATCAATTGGCCCTTACCCACAAAATAAATAAATAAATGCACATTCGTAACCCCATTTGATCGTTGTTTTTGAGCTTTTGACAGGGAGGAGTCTGAGGGAAAGTTGAAGGGAATCTTAGGCTTCACAGAAGATGATGTGGTGTCCACCGACTTTGTGGGGGACAGCAGGTGAAGTTTTTTATTTTACTTATGATTGGGTTTGGATATTCTTGTTTAGCGTTCTTTTTCCTTCCCTGCTTTATTTGCATTTTTAAACATATTTTAATGGCTCCCCCACCCACAACCCCTTAAATAAAGATTAGAGACTGACAAAAGAATTTGGCAGGACCACAGTTTAATCAGCTGGGATTGGCTTGTGGTTCTACCCTCTGACAGTATTGTATAGATGCCTGTGTTCCTCTATAAAGAGATTCTTGGTGGCTCTCGAAACTAGTAGAATTGATTGCTCTGTTGCAATTGCAGGTCAAGCATCTTTGATGCCAAGGCAGGAATTGCTTTGAGTAAGAACTTTGTCAAAGTTGTTTCATGGTATGACAATGAATGGGGTTACAGGTAATTTCAGTGAATCTTTTTTGTGTACCTACAACATTTGGAAGAAGCCTAGTTCAGTTTTCTTGGTAATCTTTTCATCTGATATCTATTTCAATGTTGCAGCTCACGTGTGGTTGACTTGATTAAGCACATGGCTTCAACTCAGTAATATATATGAGTCATGAGATGCTGCATGCTGCACAATGGTTTTGCATTACGCTTCATGGTGTCACTTATTCTAAAGTAAGTTTAAAACTAGTCACAATAAACAGAGCAGGAGAGCGTGCAGTTTTTTGCGTTGTGCATGTTTTGGTTTTAATGGGATGTCTTGAGGATTCTCGTGGCTTGCAATTTCCCAAGCATCTCTTATATGCAGTTTTGTATTGAAAATAACGTTGAACTATTTTCTATTTTGTGGAATGTCCGATGCTTTAATAATGATAATACTTTTCTTCATGGCCCTAGATAGTTTGATTGGTTGTGGACATGCATATCTGGCCTGCAGTATTTGAACTTATCTTGTCGTGGATCAAGTTGTCCCATCTTTATGGCCTTTCCCTTAGTTGTTGAGATATTGTGGTTGTGAATTAGGAAGTGGTAGGCACACAAAAATCCATGCCTGCAATAATTACAACGCAAAAATCCTTTCCCCTAGTCAAGTTATTGTGGTTAGTGCTTCTATACTTTCAGCTCGTGGATTATGAGAACATGGTGCTCGTGCTCGAACACAATTGCAGCCAAAGCAACCATATTAGCTATTATCATTCTTGGGGAAAATCATGGACAGTAACTACGAAGGAAAAAGCAGTAGTGTGTATTGAGAAGAATGAGAAGGAAAAGGGGAGAAATAGACAGTAAAGAGATGAACAAATTTGAGGATTTTCTTGAGTAGAGTGATGACCATTTGATGCTTGCTCGCATTTTTATCAAGTTTTTAAGGTCCTCGGCCTTGTCTACTCAGGAGTATGGCGAGATTTCAAGTGGATAACACAGTAGGCAGTCAGTCGTCCATGTCACAGTGTCTAATGCCAAGCTGTTGACTGGCCTGTCATAGTCAACTGGTAAGCTTTTAGCAAGCGTTAAGCTTGAGACGAAGACTGTTCACTTGATAATTGCTACCAATTGGTTGGATCTCATTGTCTAAACGTTTGACAATTAGGTAGACGGATGAAACTAGTTGATCAATAAATTTCTTCATCTTACGGATCATTTATTCATTTCAAGTATCTGGGATGATTTGATATTCATCATCTTCCTCGTCCACCTTTATGTATGATCCAAGTTACTCCAGTGGAATTCCCATTGCCCGAAACTTGAAACTGCCAAGGCCCATTTTCAGAACACTCGGGCTGTCTCCTCTATCATGCTCTGTAAGATCTCACCTGGTGCGGCTCTGTGCATTTCTAAAGCTCCAATACACTGGCTATTCCCATTAATTTCGACAGTTTACTCTATCTGATTAGAACATAATGTCAACTAATAAACACAGGAATGTTATAAATTCCACAAGATTTTTGCCACTTGAGAAATTCTCTAAATTAACCATCTGCCGCTTCCCTTTCAAATGCTTTATCCTTATGGTTTCTGCTGCAGCTTGTGCTTCTGCTTTTCTTCGAGCAAGCAGACGAGCTTTTCTCTGAATGTGCACAAGTTTGAAACGTCATTATATGGTAAAATTAAACAAAAATAAATCAACATGTCAATTCCCAGCTCAAAGCAATGCGCATTAGCCCAACATAGTATTATTTTCAAGAAACTCAAGACCTTCTTGTCTCCAACTTTCAAGTTTCAGTTTTTCAGGGCCGTGTTTCTCGCCCTGTAAGTTTTCAATTGCTTCATTAGCTACTCAACAGGAGGGAAATGCAATTAAGCAAGCGGAAACTTCACTAGGATATCAGAGTTCAACACACCTTTTCAAGACTATTCTCTTTGGCTTTGATTATAATATCGGCATATCGACCTCTCAACAAAGCGGTACAGTGAAAGCTTTTGAGGGGAAACACAGTCCCCTAAAATATAACACTATCCTGGTAAGATGCTGCTGCCTAACTAATACCACAATTTTTTCGTTGCTTTTCATTGCTTACCCCCTTGACGACAATTTAACATCTTATTTGCAGGAGCTGAATCCTTGACGACGTCTGAGTAAAATAGCACCAAGATCAAGATGTTAAATTTTATTTAATACTAAAAGTTGCAATAACTCATTGATAGTGAAGTTAGATTGCCATGAATATGATCACAATGATAAAACAGTGACCAAGAAATAAAAGATTGAAACACCCAGACCAACCCTTCATCGAGGGCTTGCGTGGAGAAAATGACCAATAACTTAAGAGTAAAGTTCATGTACCAACTGCATAATCAAATGGTCAAGTGTCGATCACATTATTGCCACATAGACACTTCATTTGACACTTAAATTATTCCGTTAGTTTCGATTAATGAAAGTAAATCATACAAATTTGTGAGTTCTAGTAAGATTTTGATGCGGAGTTAAGATCGTGTATGATTTAGGTACATGAGATAAAGCTCACAAACCACTTGTATATAATAAGAATAAATTGACATACGTATTTAATTTTTGTAATAGCTTACAAATATGAAGGGACTACAAAATTAAGCAAAAAATCAACTTTTAAGTGGGGCAAACTTCAATTTAGGATATTTTTTTCCGACGAACTGCCCTTTTGAATCCTCATCTCCTATCAATCTCTAAAAAAATAATATATGCATCAGTTGGCCAACAAAAGCATCAAACTTCAAAAACCGAATATTAAATTCAAGATTCCTTGCACTCATTCAAAATCAAGAGAAAATACGAAGAGTAATGTTATTCATCCTCAATGGAGTTAAAAACACAGTCTAGGTGGCGTTAATGTGACATTAAATGATAGGTGAAATTTCCTAAACTGTGTTTGTAATCCCAACGGAGATGAATATCATTACTCAAATACGAAATAATACTATCACAAGTTCCGTCTTCAAGAAATGATTCACTGAAGTTAATTAGCATTTATGAACCTAAAGATAGGGCAGCCTTTGCATCAAGTCTCCATGCAAACCCTCCACATTCCATTCTCCACACATCACACGGCACCGTGAGAGAGGTGGTGGGACTTTTCACCACCGTCAGCCAGCATGTGAAAGAGGGCCAACCCACCGGCAGGGCCACCCCCTTGTTGATCACCAGCCACACCTCCGCCGCCGACGCCGCAGCATCACCTTGTACCATCTGCTTGTAGGCCAAATTTGTCCACTTCACCCTGTTCAGACCGTCTGATACGAACCCCGGACACGTGTCGAGATATAGATTCATCATTCTCTCCTCGTCCGTATGCCCTAGTCCGTAAACATCACAATGCTCCCACGCGACGGTTATGCATTCAACCTTCACCCATGATCCGACCACCGACTGGCGGAGAACCGCCTGAGGCACCACCGCCAGTGGAAGATCCTCCATGTCGTGACCGACGTGCTTTTCTTCATTCCCAAAACTTAGACATAAAGGTGAACTCTGTGGCTCCCTTTTGGAACTTTCCTTCACATCAGGTGTCTCCGGCAATAACAGCAGCGTCACCGCCGTGTCACCGGAAATTGACTCATTGGAGGCTGTTCTACCATTTAACTCACTATCTTCAGATGAAGCCTTCCTTTTTCTCCCAGTACACTTCTTCTTTACACTACTTGCACTATATTTTTCACACGGTCTTTTTCCAATCTCAACTTTAACACTCAGACCAGCGTTTTCCGGGACGGCGGACTTGTTTCCGCAGCCGCTGGAAAACGACCCAATTGCAGCAGCCGGCTTAGGCGCTATAGGCCGGAATCTCTGCATTATCCGGTCCATTTTCGACATATTATACGCACTTACACTCCCAGCATCATGTCTTGCAATACAGCACCCATCCCTTCCATTCATTTTCACTCAAAATTTCTCATCAAATACTTGCACATAGAGGAAAAACACAGGAGGAAGAAGAGTAACCTATGATTTATGCAGAAAAAGATGATGGGGAATGTCAATGTGGGACACGTGTGAAGGGATCCGAACGTGTAAGAGAGGTAATTGGCTGAGGGATTAGGAAACGTGGCGAAAGGACAAGGAGAAGCAGCATAAAGCGGCGAATAGAAGAAAAGATAAAGTCCGACCACCACGCAGTAACCAATGATATTTTGTATAGTTGCAAGTACTGGATCCAAAAGCGGACACGTAGGTCTACATGCATATAGTTGAAGTTCTAGAAAGTGGACACGTGGTTGAATAATGCTATAGTTGTGACCAATCCCTTCGTAGAGTAATCCTCCTTAGATATCACGTATCGACTCTTGATTAGGGGTGTGTTTAATCCACATTATTTTGAAAGAATGTAATCTGGAATAGTAGATTGATTGAGAATTTGTGGTTAAAAAAAAGGAAAATTTATTGATGTGATGGAAAATATTATTTTATTGAAGAATGTGTGGTTGAAAATGAGTAGAAGAATGAGAATGAAAATTTTAATGTGTACCGAACAGGGGTTAGATAATTTAAAAAAAATAAAAATACAATATTCAATTATTATCTGTCACGTGACTCACGTCATCATATCCCTCTATCCTTATCATTGAGCATGTTCAATGAGCATTATTCATATTCTTATGCCCTTGTTAGTTACTTAGTGCTTGTTTGGGGGAAAAATTGATTTTCGAATAGTGATATGATGGGAAATGTGTGGTTGAAAAAGAAGAAAAAATTATTGATGTGATGAAAAATATTATTTTATTGAAGAATGTGTGGTTGAAAATGAGAATTGATTTACTGTAGAATTTGAGAATAAAAAACAAA